GGAAGGATCGATACCAGAACGAAATATTTATAACCTAAAAATGTCATCAATTTCTAACCTGAAAAAATATAATGTTATCGATCTCAACATGGACGCAGTGCTGCCAGAAATCCCGCACGATTATTCCCTCGAAAAATCCCGCAGCGGGATTTTTCCCCCTCCACTTGCCTACCCCGCTCGGCCCCTCAGGTGGCGGCTCCAGCGCTCATTTTGTTCCGTAGATCTGGGCCACAAGTGTTGATAAGGGGGGTCTGGACAATGAGGGAAGGGGGAGCTAGACACGTCATGGTGGGGACATAGGGACGGGAGGAGAAAATCCCGCGCGCGGGATTTTTCCCCTCTTCTGGCAGCACTGCATGGACGTAAGAATATATACGTCCATGGATCTCAATAATTCGAAAAAGCATCCATTTGTCATTATATAGAAGAAACGACGCGTCAACACGTCGAGGATGAAAACCAATCAGAAATGCAACGAATGTGACCACGAGGTTAAGCGCAATTCTGATTGGTTTTTCATCCTCGATGCGTTAACGCGTCGTACTCGGTGTGATCGTCGATCGTTGCAGGGCTGAGCGCCGCAGTTCATTATCATTCCGCGAGGGGCGCCATCGAATGTCGTACAAAAAGTCGTATGAGGGTTGACCTATCATGTGAGTGCGAAAATGGTAGTTCGTGACTGGAGGGACGACGATGACGATATGAGAACAACGATTCTGAGAGTGCCGAAAACTTTATCGTGCCATATCTTTACGTACATAGCAGCAATCAGAGTCGGGTAAATTTTAAAAAATTCCTGATTTTTTACTGAATTTTTTGAGTTGATCGAAAGTTTATTTCTTTATCTGTAGCAAAGAAGAAATTATATTTTCATTTCCCCCACTCCTGAAATCCTGATCCTTACTGTATATAACTCTGTAGCGTCTCGCTCGAACTTAACGCGCAGGGCGCGTTTCTCACATCGCTCAACGCAACGAGTTTCTCGCTCAAAAATGTATTTGGCTCGAAACTCTACCGAGTTTCTTGATAAAACCAGCGTCAATAGCGTTTCGTAATTTGTTCAGCGTCGATGTAGAGACATACAGTAATTTTTCTTTTCGACATTCTCTGTCATCCACTTGGTTGGTCCACCTTCTTAATTCACGAGCAACAGAAAGTTTCCTAAATCGTTATTGGACAGTGGCAAATTTGAGATTGCCGGACTTTCCACTTCTCCAGAATTCTACTGCTCTCTTTTTATAGTCGAAGTTAACCGCTGTGTCTTGGCAAACCGATGAAGACGGTTGTGGCACCGTTTCGTCAGTCCACTCTTCTTCATCTTCAACATACTCAACCTCGCGAGCTTGAAAAGGTTCTTGAAAATCCAATGTTGAATCTTCAGTAATTTCAAACGAATTAAATTGGAATATACTATCCAAAAGAGTCGTTAGAATAGATTCTTTTAACAGTATTTCTTGTCGATTAACTTCCGTCTCCATTAAATTTATAGTTTGAAACGTAGCTAACAAAAGGTTGATCACGTTTATAGGATTTATAATCATTACGTACAAATGTATCGTAGCACGTCGACAAAATAATTTCACAAGGACGAAGTCTTGATCAGAACTGATCAGCATCGAATCCAGTGCAGACTTTATAAGAACGCACGTCGGCATAGACGATTCCAAATTTTATTTCATTCAATGTACTATTCCCGTACCTTAGGTATCGAATATCGCTGACTATTTTTTCGTAAAAACAGTGAAAATTCAATTTTATCGTTTCACCACGGAGATTGCATTACTAGTTGGAAACGGGTGATGACTGCATCGTCGAATCCGCTGCGAAACAATGTTAGCCTTTGAAACTATTTTTCAATTTATTTATGAATAATTGCATGTTATGAAAATCAATGACATTTTGAAGAATTACCACGATGACACGACTTATGTACGATGAATTGGTCACGATATAACCCAATAAAGGTAGTCAGAATATACCCTAATATCACCTACATTCATTGTTTACAACCGATGTGTAAATGTTTATTGGCAAAAAGCAAAAAACACGTATTTCTTAATTTTTTGCGAGCAATCACATCGCGTAAGTGGAACTTAAGTAGGAGTGCTTGTTTAATGTCACCCCCTTGAGGGGGTGCAACATTGCTGAACAATATTGTGTTGTCACCGTCCTTATACAAAATACGTTTATGCAAAGTTTCGTCGAAATCCCTCCACTGCTCCTACGAAAAATATTTAAAAAACCGATTGTTCGCTAAACTTTGGGGGGTTGTTTAACCCCTTAATTGTAGATCATTGCAGATTTAAAATAACACGTGTCTCTTAGATTTTTGTGTTCTTCAATATATATGAAACTCAATAAGATCGGAGGCGGACACTTGAGAATGTTTCCTTGTAAGTTTAAGATGCGTGAGCGCGCGAAGTAAAACTGACTTAAGTAGTCTCGAAAATTTGACTGAAAATCTAACGAATAAGTCTGGCGAATAAGTGTCGGAAAAAGTAATAAGAGTAAAAGTCGAAAACTTGACTAAGTAAGTAATATGAAGTATATAAGCAAGTAAGCAAGCAAGCAAGCAAGCAAGTAAGCAAGTAAGCAAGTAAGCAAGTAAGCAAGTAAGCAAGTAAGCAAGTAAGCAAGTAAGCAAGTAAGCAAGTAAGCAAGTAAGCAAGTAAACAGGTAAGCAGGTAAGCAGGTAAGCAGGTAAGCAAGTAAGCAAGTAAGCAGGTAAGCAAGTAAGCAGGTAAGCAAGTAAGCAAGTGAGTCGAAAACTTGAGTGAAAAATTTAATGGAAGAGTCATATAAGTTCCTCTAAAATTTGACTGAAGAATCTAGCGGATAAGTGTCCCTCGCTGCTTAAGTTCTAACATATAGAATTTCCACCTCCGACGTTTGACTCCCGAAATTCCAGCAATGGGGCATGAAAATGACTTTAGTCCCCGACGGTGGGGTTTGGAAAGAATCTTCCATTGGAGGAAAGAGTTAAAACCATGTTTTAGGGAAAGAAGTAGGGTTAGGAAAAATCTCTTATTGGATGAAGGAGTTAAAGAATATGTTCTAGGGAGAGGAGTAGGATTAGGAAAAATTTCCTGTTGAAGAAAGGGGTTGAAGAATATGTTTTTAGTAAGAGGCGTTCGGAGCGAAGAATTTGGGAGAAGTGTACTCGGGAGACGGAAGTTAATGTTTCCTTTTCTGGGAATAGATTATTAATGTCGCCGCTCTGCCGGGACTTACGAGCTCGTCGATGCAGGGCTGGTATCCGTCGTCGCGGGGTCCCCTTTTCTTAAATATTTTGAATATTACGAGAAGCAGCTAGGCTCGAGGTCTTCGGAACCCCTTTCGACTTATCTACCATTTACGCAGTGATGGCGTCAGCCTGTCCCGAGTACTAAGATGGGGGCCCTCGGTTGTCTGGGTTGAAAAGAACGAGTTTTAGACTCGATTAGTCTATTACTTTGAAGAAGAAAAATCCTGGGCCTATCGGGGTAGTTCGATGCGCGGGCCGATGCACGCGCAGGGAATGTTACGTGGGACGTAACAGGACCCAACCATGCCCCAACTAATTCCCGCCGGAGCAGAGGAACCTGTGAAAGAGGTGTTGGAGGTCCGGGGATTCCCGGACAGCGTCAGGAGGTGGTCCACGATACTCGGTATATGAGCCCCAGTAGCTTGGCTGTATCTCAGCGATGAGGAACGCACCAGGCTTCACCTGAAATTCCTCAATCTTCAGGATGGTGGTATGGGTGTATACTACATCGTACTCACCGATGGTAGCGTTTGGGTGATGGTTAACGCCATCATCTATGAGGGCGAGGCCCTCCGCCGTTAGCTAACGGCGGCACAGGACTGAAACTTCCGCCCGACCTGGTGCCGAGAGCACGTGTGCCCCGCCTAGCCACCATCCATATCGAGCACCGACGTGAACCGCCCTGCCCGCTTCCTCCGGCTGCCGCTAGACCGACCGCCTTCAGCCAGCCCGCCGCCCCGGAGGCTACGCCGCCCCGGAGGCTACGCCGCCCGCGAGCATTCGCCGTCCCGGGCTCACCGAGAGGGCCACCCAGCGCCCGCACCCGCCGCTTCCGGCCCGCCATTACGCCAGCGTCCGCGTGCCCCGTAATTGTAAGTAGCTTAAGTCGTTAGATTAAGATAGTAGATTAAGGATCGTAGGTTAGTTAGTTAGTTAGGAATAACGATCAAGATTTTGATTTAAAACTCCGGGTCTCTTTTGTCCCCTTCCCCCGTCCTTCCCATTTTCCCCGTTATAGTATGTAGGGATATATGTATATATTTCTTTATTTATTAACGTTGCACGCGCAGGAATCGTTACTTTGGACGTAACAGTATTCCTCTTAACGGAATACAAAACAATTTAATAACGATATTTTTTTCCGGACTAGAAGGTTTCAATCAAAGCAGAAATTTATTCTTCTTTACGGAATTAAACAAGAATCATCGTACACAAGGGGAATAGAATATAATTGATTCACAGAAAATGCATTCCTGAGTTGGACTTTGAAAAAAAAATCAGTTATTAAATAGAATAGGAATATCTTCACTTTTACGTTGAAACTGTGAGACTTTGAATCCTATTCTATTCGAGCCTTTTTTCAGGTGCGTCAAGCTAGCATGTCACCTAAGAGTCTATCACAATTCATGATTTCCGAATATAAACGACTTAGATGCTAATTATGTGCAAATTTTTTGCTGAATTAATAAATTTTCTACCCTCGCCATTTTTCGGAAACTTGAAATTTCATTGTGGTCGTGCTAGCTTGACGTCAATGCAGCGCATTCTCAGCTCAAAGATTACAGAAAGTTTAAAACAAGTACATCGAATTGAAGGGAAATTATGTGCTAATTTTGTACTGCAATAGTTTTTGCTTTACACCGTCCAATTTGTCCAAAAATTCGATTTTTGTTCTGGCTAAGCTCTGCGTCAAGCTAACATGTTCCATCCGTGAACGATGTGGAACGTCGATAGCCCATCCAAATTTATTATAGGTATAAAATTAGTATTTTTTAACCGCTCAAGTTAAAGCTCATGGAAAACTCGAAGTCCTTCTTAAGCGTACCAAAGGGCCCGAGTAATTCACAAAAGGGGGGCAATAAGTTTGAGTACGTGCATTCTCAAAGGGTCTTTTTTCGACGGCTTTCATCAAAGGCATGGGACAACGTCTAGCAAACAACATTTTTAACTTTCCAAAAATTCAGAAGTCCGCCTTTGGCGACCAGACGTTACTTAAGGGTTTGTAACTATAGACGCGAGGCGAGTAGGTTAGGTGGCGGTCTCATGCGCCGCGGTCTATGTTCGGGTTTCCTTCCGCGACAATAGCCCGCTCGGAGCGTTAGATTTGCGCTGGGTTACGGTCTGGGTGGAATGATAACGCGGTGTGTACGTAATACGCTAGTTTATTAATTTCCTAGGGACGGTACAGGAGTGCTGTCCGGGCGTCCGGAGTCCATTCCACGCGTCTGAAAGCAGAGTAAGCCGTGCGGTTCGACCAAAAGCATGCGTGAGTGGCGTGGCGTGGCATGGCTCCCTGATTGTTAGTGCGCATGGCATGGCGAGTTAATGTCTACGGGTGTGATTTAAAGGAGTTAAGAACTAGAATCTACAGGGGGTGTCCTATGGTTCATGCATGTCAGTCAGGGAAGGAGGCGAGATAGCCCGAACACTCGACGTCGCGTCATCTGCGTTTAATTCGCGCAGTCCGGATCCGTGTCTCGTCCTGCGGATCCGATGGAGTGATGCCTTAGCGGGTTTCATCCCTTCTAAGAACTCGATTTGTTTGTCCAGCCTTATATATCCTGCTCGTCTCTGCTCGCTTGCGGGAGACCTGGAGTTGTCGGTTGCCGTATCGCGGCCGCGGGCCAGATTAGGTTCGGGCGCCGTGCGCGCGCAGCGGCTTTCGTTCGTAAGCTTCGTGCAGGTCGTGTAGCCAGAGCCCTAGTGCTTTGGGCTTCGATTTAACGACTCGTCACAGATGTTTTCCACGAACCCGTAACTTACGTGACCGGCTATTTCGCGAGTGCCTGCGACGGCGGAAACCCTAAATCTTCGAAAATTTTCCCTGTCAATGAGGATGCTCGACTCAAGTCCGACTTGTTCCCTCCACCGAGTTGGAGGGAGATCTGTGAATTTTTACTAGTTTTTAAGTATTTTCTTAAAAAGCAGATTTACTTCAACTGTTGCCGCGTCAACGTCAGATTTACTTCAACTATTGCCGCGTCAACGTCATATTTACTTCAACTGTTGCCGCGTCAACGTCAGATTTACTTCAACTGTTGCCGCGTCAACGTCAGATCCAAATCGATCGTTGCCAAGTCAACGAGAGCTAAGTCGACCGTTGCCGAGACAATATGCGATCTCATTAAAAACATTACCGAGTCAACGTAAATTCAATCCGACCGTGCCGAGTCAACGAGATTCATAGGACGTTGCCGAGTCAACGCCAATTAAATTCGTTAGTTGCCGAAACAACTCGCGAACCCGCTGCAATAATTGCCGAATCAATTGATCAACTTTGTGATGTGATTGTGATCT